GTAGCTGGCACTATTAAAGGTAGTGGTGGGCTCATGCCTTTAATCACAGCACTTGGGAAGCAGAAGCAGGTAGATCTGTGAGTTCGAGGCCAGCCTGGTCTACAGAGTGAGTTCCAGGACAGCCAGAGCTGTACAGAGAAATCCTGTCTTGAAACAAACAAGAAGAGAAGGAGGAAGAGAAGGAGGAAGAGGAAGAGGAAGAAGAGGAGGAGGAGGAGGAAGAGAAGAAGAAGAAGAAGAAGAAGAAGAAGAAGAAGAAGAAGAAGAAGAAGAAGAAGAAGAAGAAGAAGGAGAAGAAAGGACTTCATAGTTATATAGCTATCATGGTCGTCAGAAACAGTCTCCACAACCATACTTCCCTTGAGGTGCAGTGCTCCTGGAGCCCATCTGTCATCTCTAAGCACATGTCCCTCGTCCAATTCAACACATCTCTCCCATGTGGTCAGCTACCAGTTCCCCCACTCACTTAGCCAAGGAGTCAGCGCTGTTTGGTTCTGAACTCTCAGCCTTACTTTTCTCAAGAAGCATGGTCTCTCAAGATGCTTCCCTAACAGACACCAGTTCTGACAAACTCCCTGGCTCCACCTGAGCATTCAGACATGGCTTTTGGTATTTCCACACACCTCCTTCTCTCCGTTGAAACACTTTTAGGAATCTATTTCGGGGTGTGGTACTGGAAGCCAGCAGTACTATTGCTTTCAGTGTAAGGAGCAGGGTGGTGCTCATGCCCACAGCTGAGGCTGTTGACTTGCTAATACCCTCCATGCAGGTGACTGCTGAGGTCGGGGACATTGAATCCTCCTGGAGATGGAGTTACAGGTGGCTGTGAATTGTCCAACATAAGTACTGAGCCATGACTCCAGCTCAGTTACCTTTTAAAATATATAATATATGAGTGAATACATATATAAATAAGTAAATATGTATATACACACATTTGTATATATATCTATAGATACATAATGTATATATGCATATTCATGTATGCATATATGTGAATATATGTAGATACATGTAAATATATAAATATGCATATGTGTATATGTCTGTATATACAAATATACATAAACATATATGTATTGGAAAGAATGCTTAGTGGTTAAGAGCCCTTGATACTCTTACAAAGGACTCAGGTTCAATTTTCAGAATCCACATGGTGCTTCATAACATCTATCACTCCAGTTATAAGGGATCTGACAGTATCTTCTGCCCTCCAAGGGTATCAGGCATGCACGTGGTGCACAGACATAAATACATGAAAAATATTCATACACATAACAATTTTTAAATAGTTTAAAATATTTAATTTTTCTGTATGTGTATATCTGTCTGTCTGTCTGTCTGTCTGTCTGTCTGTCTGTGGACATGTGTGTAGGTGCCTGTGGAAGCCAGAGGTGTCAGATCCCCTGGAACTAAAGTTACAGATAGTGAGAGACAAAATTGGACCCTCTGGAAGAGCAGAAGTCACTCTTAATAGCTGAGCCATCTCTCCAGCTCCTTAGTTTCTTTTCCCGTTGCTATGACCAAATACCTGAGAAAGAGCAATTTGGTAGAAGAAGGGTTTGCTCTGACTTATAGTTCCACCCCATCATGGAGAAGTAGAAATGGGGCCAGCTGCTCCATGGTAGCACCAGTGTGCAACCGGGACTCCGCCTCAACTCTTGGAAGACCAGAAACCAGACAGGAAGTGGAGCTGGGCTATGTGGGACCAGGCTATAAAACCCCAGTGACCCACTTCCTCCAGCAAGATTCCACTTCTGAAAAACTCTACAACTTTCCAAAAGACTGCCGTGGCTGGGGACCACATGTTTAAATATATGAACCTATCAGGGACATTTCTTATTCTAACAACAACAGGGGCAGAGAAGAAATTGAAATTGAAATAACTAAGGGTTTCGATTCTGTTCCAGAAATGAAGGGGAGATCCTGACATTTCATTCACATTGGCTTTGTTTGGCATTGAAATAATGAGGATCAAATAGAAACTTAGAGTTCTTGTCTGGCACCCCCTTTCTCTTTCGTTTCCCATGTGCTAAGTCTAGCATGTCCCAAATGAAAATTTCTATTTCATCCTGGGTTAAGACCAGGGGGACAAATGGCAGAGCCACCACTGACCTCTGGTGGACACAGATGCAAGAGGAATGCAGCCTAGATTGGTCAGCCCCACTGGGGCTTTTATGTAGGGGTCATTGACTCCAGAATGAATAGCTTCTCAGGAGCAGATGACATTGGGTTCATTTCAACAAAGAAGAGCGAGATTTTGCTGCTGGGTCTTTTTTCTTGTTTGTTTGTTTGTTTGTTTGTTTATTTGTTGTTTGCTTTTTGAGACATATTCTCACTATGTAGCCCTGATTGTCCTGAAACTCACTCTGCAGACAAGGCTGGCCTAAACTCACAGAGATCATCCTGTCTCTGTCTCCCAAGTGCTGAGATTAAAGGGAGCACACCCAGCTCACTGATGCATCTTTAATTTCACTTTAGTGTTTGGTTTATTCAAGGTTTGCATTTTTTTTGTGGTTGTTGTTGTTATATTTTACATTTGTAAGCATTAAACTTTATCATCAAATGTTTCTCATCAAATAGAAAGGTTAGTGAAGATGAATAACACATCTGGCCTTAATTCAACAGAGCAAAAATAAATAAACAAATAAACAAACAAGAATTTTGGTTCCAAAATTATTGGCTCTTTTCTGAAAACTCCAGAAGATCTGCAGGCGGTCACAGAGCTGTCCATTTTTGTTAACAATGGCGACAACGGGTAGACGCACGATGGGGCAGAATTACTGGATCATTGTCCATGCTGTGAAGACCTTGTTAGAGCAAATAGGTAGGAGAATAGTGACCGACCAGGTGGTTGGGAAAAGAGCTCAGTCGGTAAAGGATTCACCTGGCGAGCATAAGGGCCTGAGTTTGATCCCCAGAACCTGTATTTTAAAAGCCAGGTGCAGTGGCACGTACCTGCAATCCTACTGCTGAGGAGGCAGAAACAGGCAAGACTTGGGGCACACCACCCAGCCTACCTAGCTTACTTTCCAAGTTCCAGGCCAATGAAGAGACCCTGTATGGTGCCTACTTCTTTTGTCAACTTGACACAAGCTAAAGTCATATAGGAAGAGTGAACCTTAATTGAGAAAATGCCTCTATAAGACTTGTAGGCTTGTCTGTGGCGCATTTTCTTGAATAATGATTGATGCACGAAGTCCCAGCCCACTGTGGGCAGGACCACCTCTGTGCAGGTAGTCCTGGGTACTATAAGAAAACAAGCTGTGTGGGTGGTGGTGGCATACACCTTTAATTCCAGCATGCCGAAAGCAGGAATTTGGGGCCAGCCTGGTCAACAGGACAGCCAGGGCTACACAGAGAAACCTTGTTTTGAAAAAACAAGGAAGAAAGAGAGAGAGAGAGAGAGAGAGAGAGAGAGAGAGAGGGAGAGAGAGAGAGAGAGAGAAAAGGCGGGCAAGCAGCTATGGGAGCAAGCTTGTAGGTGAACAGCACTCCTCCATTCCCCTGTGGTCTTGGCCTCCAGGTTCCTGCCTCCTGCTTCCTTTTACAACGAATGGACTATATCTAAGATGTAAACCCCTTTCTCTTCAAGTTGTTTTAGGTCATGGTGTTTATCATATAACAATAGAAAGAAAACTAAGACATGCTCTTTTTTAAAAATGGTGGATACTGGAAGCAGAGGAAAGGAGGGACTTAGGTGGCAGAGGGGAGAGGGAGGGAAAAGGGGAACAGGACCAGGTACGGGGGAGGGAACATAAGAGAAGCCCAGAGGGCCAGGCAAATGAATGGAAATATGCAGCCTCTAGGGGGTGGGAGATGGGGGACCCTCTAGAAATTCCCAGAGACCTAGGAGGTGAGAGACTCAATAGGAGTGACCTTAGCCAAAATGCCCAACAGTGGGGAGAGGGAACTCAAAGAATCCATCTCCAGTAGATAGACAGGGCCCCAAGCGGTGGGACAGGGTTACCAACCCATAATAAAAATGTCTGACCCAGAATTGTTCCCATCTAAAAGAACTGCAGGGGCAAAAATGGAAAAGAGACTGAAGGAAAGGCTGGCCCAACTTGAAATACATCTCAAGTGAGGGAGGGGGCTCCAAGGCTTGGCACTATTACTGACGCTATGGTGTGCTCATAGACAGGAGCCTAGCATGGCTGTCCTCTGAGAGGCCCAACCAGCAGCTGACTGAGACAGACACAGATACTTACACCCAACCATTGGACTGAAGTTGGGGACCCCTATGGAGGAATGAGGAGAAGGATTGAAAGAGCTGAAGGAGAGGGTGACCCCATAGGAAAACCAGCGGTCTCAACTAACCCAGACCCTAGGGAGTTCCCAGAGACTGAACCACTAACCAGGCAGCATACACGGGCTGGTCCGAAGCCCCAGCACATAGATAACAGAGGCCTGCCTGGTCTGTCCTAGGTGGGAGAAGATGTACCTAATCCCTGATAGATTTGAGGCCCCAAGGAGGGGAGGATATGGGGGAGAGGAAGAAGGGGAGCACCCTCTCAGAGGCAAGGGGGAGGGGGAATGAGGTGAGGAACTGGGGGCGGAGACCAGGAGGGGAGCAATGGCTGAAATATAAACAAATAAAATTAATTTTAAAAAAAGATGGATGGTGACATCCCAGATTGTTCTCTGGCCTTCACACACATGTGCACATACACACACATAAGCATTAGTGTGAGGAGTACACACAGTCATATGCAAACTTATGCTGAGGTATACATGGTCACTCATATATATGCACACATGATCTGGGACACACATATGCACATGTACTGTGATCTCTATGTAAAGAAACCAGATGCCCTGGGGAAAGAGATGTCACTTGGTTGTCCCCAGACTCCAGGTCAATGGGCATCATGCCTAGAACTTCAGGATAAAGGAAGGGCTGGACCTAGAAACTCCAAAAGAAAGTCCAAGAGTGCAGGCATGTGGTCAGACACAGGATTTCCTTGTAAAATTTGAGGCACAATGAATGACACTTCATGTGACAGGAAACCAACACTATTTCATTTTATTTCTACCTAAAGTGACAGCAGGGAGTTATGAGACCAGAAGGCCCCAGGACCGTGGATCTGGGATGTGGCTTCGTGGGAAGGCTCTGCTATTTGCTTGGCGTTTTCACTTGGTAAGAAAAGCGCAGGCTTCCAGGAGTGCTGTGGGACACACAAAGCAGGTTATTCAGACACAGGTTCTTTTCCCCAAAATCTATAAATCAAGGAGGTTTCAAAAATAGTTTTCAAGCCCTTGTCCTGCCATTGTGAGTCAGGGCTTGCCTTTATCCATCCACGTGTTTCTTCCTGCCTCTTCTAGCAACTGTGGCCTCTTGGGCCACAGCATCTCCCTGCTCTGACCTGAAGGGCATGTGACTCTACCTCTAAGTGAATCAGTTTACACCGCTCAAGTTCACAAGACCCTGGTCCTCTGGCTCCTGAACTGCACACAAAGAAGGCTGATCTATTCACTTACCCTTCGTCTGCAAATACTGACTGAGCACCTGCCTTGTGTGAGCCACTGCACCATGAGCTGGAGAGAGCATGGGCAGACAGCTCTGTCCTCGGGCACATGGCCTCTGCACCAGTGCCATCTGTTCACAAGGTCATCAATAGCCCTGGGTCACCGAGGGTGTACCGCACTTGCAACGGCCTGAGAAGTCACTCAATACAAATCATGGCTCCTCACCTCGGATCGATCCGCACAGGGAACCTGATAATCCTTTTTTTGTAGGTTGTGGTATCCTGTGCACTGCTTGCTAACAACCCCAACCTCTATTGCCTGCTACCAGAAGCACCTACTAAACTGTGGTCACCAAAGATGTTTTTAGTCATGGCCAAATGTCTCCTTTGGAGACCAAATTGTCCTAAGTTGAAAACAACTGACAAAGAGATTCTGGGCCTGCTCTGACTCCTGGACCACAGCATCTGCCATGCCTCTGCCTCTTGGAGTAGGGACCACCAGGTGTTAGGGATTCAAGCGGCTACTGTGCACAGGCAGGCTATCCGTGCATGGGGATGCCTGAGGATTACTTCTGAAAGCCTTTTAGCAATCTGTATATATGGGTGTGTACACACATACACACACATACACACACACACACACATCTATGTGTGTGTGTGTGTATATATATATATATATAATATTTATGTAGATATATAAGTATTTGAAATTTTTTTGAGATAGAGTTTCATGTACCACAGGCTAGTTTCGATCTCCTTATGTAGCTGAGGATGACTTTGAACATTTGATCCTCCTGCTTCTACCTCTCAAGTTCTGGGATTACAGTTGTGCACCAGTACACAGAGTTGATGCCATGCTAGAGGCTGAACCCAGGGCTTTGTGCATGTGAAGCAAATAATCTACTAACGGAGAGACATCGCCAGCCACTCTTCCGAGCAGTTTTCAAGAATTAAATTATTAGCAATACACTTTCCTACACTTGAACTTATTGTGTCATGTGTGTGGATGCTGGCCAGAAGAAGTGGCAGATCACTGGGAACTGGAGTTACAGACAGCTGTGAGATGCCAGATGGACAGGTGCTTGGAACTGAACCGGTGTCATCTGGAGAAACAATCGGTCTCTTACCCCCTGAGCCTATATTTTAAGGTTTTAAGAATTTGCACTTCTCCATGTATTTTGGCCTTTGAACCTGGACCTTCTCCCATGTTGATTCCCTGGTAATCAAATCTAGAAGCCACTCACGGGAGCTGGAGCACTGCTTCAGATGCTCGGTCGCTGTGACGTACTCCTTTCCTAGATACTTCTCTGATGTTGTTTTGCCATGGAGCTTGGCCAGACACTCAGTGTTGTCGTTAAACAGAAGGTTTTTGGTTTCAGACTGGAACAGGCAAAACTCTCCTGGACACTTCGGTCCATTTCTTCCAAACTGACCCTGTGTAAAGAGAGCCAAGTCTGTGAGTAGTCAAAGAAGGCAGTGTGGGGGTGGGAACTGTAAGGGTTCCTCCATTTTGGGTAAAGAGCAGAGCTAAAAAGCAGTCGTGTTCTTTTCCGACTGGGATGACTCTTTCCAGACGTTCTCCCAGCACCATGCTCCCAGCACTGTGCTCCCCCTGGTGGCATGCCCACTCCAGCCAGGGCCTGAGCCTCATGCCATGTCTGACCTTCCCTCCCATGTCTTTTCTCCTACTAAATCTGTTGTCACTTCCTGTAGAACTTCTTGCTGGTGATCGGAGTTCAGATGAGGATTTTTGAGCTCCTCCCCTGAAAGCCAATCATCTATAATATTCTAGTATTGCAGCTGTCCAGATAGGCAATTTGAAAATTCCTGTGTTTCTATGAACTGGGCCACTGCAGGACATTCAGCCTTTCTTGGCTGCAGTCCCTTTTCCTTATTCAGGGCTGTTGACCTCAAAAGCGTACCCAGAGCCAGCATCTGTGATAGGAAAATAAAGACTAGAACAGGGAACACTAGAACACGGTCATCCCTAAATCCATGGATATGAGGGTCCCTACAAACACCACGACCAGCATGGTGTCGATCCACATGAGGCAAGAAGGAAGTTTGGTTCAACACAACTCAGTAGCCAGTGTTGGGTCAAACTTCAAAAACCTGACACTGGGTAGACTCTTTCAGGCATATTTAAGCTCAGTACAATTTAGGAGGAAGAGGTTTTTTGGTGATAACTCAATCCTGTGTATACAACAAAGCTTAAGACATGATTACATGAAAAGTCCTGTAGAGTACAAGACATCTTCCATAAAGATGGGTCCTCTAAAACGAGGCTCCAGGAAAACAGTGCTGCTCCTGATAAGAGTTTCAGGGAGGATAATGTTATAGACTGACTGAGACAGACATATAGTCTGGGAGCCAGAGTGGCCTGACCATACAGTTAGCACAGAAGTCACCAGGCTGTTAACCACGTCGGTTCCCAGCCTTCTTGGTAGAAACAGGTCATACAGCTCTTCCTTGAAGAGACCACATGTTCAATTGCATGTTCAATATTTCTGCTTTTCCTGTGTTCCTCTGTGAGCACAAGGACCCCCTGTCTCCTACACATGGAATGTGCTCTGGGTTTGCTGCTTCATAGCCTTTGTCCTGGGCATTGTTTGTCCCTCTCTCTGAGTCACAAGAGAAAGGAGCAGGAAGGAGAGGTCAGAAATGACTCTGGACCATGACATCAGTTCAAGTGTGGGAGCAGAGAATCCAGGCAGAATTCTAGTTGGTCCCTAGAAAGGCTCACGGCACTGAGCAAATGCTATCCCCATCGATCAAGCAGAGGGGTTAGAAAGAAAGGTTTGAGTGGATGAAAGACTTCCCAGCAGGAACCAATGCAGTGAAGAGCAGTGAAGAGCATGCTGGGAGACCTGCTGGTCCATACCTGTTGGTCAAGCAGCACCTGCTGGAGGAGTTCCACCTTGTCTGTCCGAGATATTACAGCATGGTTTGGGGCTACGGCTAGGTGGCAGTTCTTAGCCTCGGTCACAGGCTTCCGGGTGTCATCAAGGCACAACAGTTCAAAGTCCTTCAGCTTTAAGTTCCTAGCCCACTCTTCAGTGTTCCTCCCTGGTGAAAGAAAGGTGTCATTAGCCATTAGCTAATCCATTAGGTCAAGGTATGACTATTTTGAAAAGCACATATGGGCTGTGGTGATATCACAAGCTACTCAGGCAACAAATACGCCTAGCTTAGCCATAAAGGAGTTCTTATTCAATAAGAAGTTTATACATGTGGTAACATGGTTGACTCTCATAGTTACGATGCTATGATAAAGAAGCCAGCTACAACCATCACAAATGATGGTTCCATTTATGAGAACAGACAAAGCCATGGGAACAGGAAACAGATGTTGAAGAAGCAAAGACAGTGGGCTGCCAACAGATGTGAAGGCTTCTTCATGTTGTTCAAATGAGTGTTGTGGGGTTGGATTGTACCATTGTTGGCTATACCATTCTGAATGTGCTACAGCCCACTCAATTGTACACAGACAAGTGGTGGATTCTGAAATCACCAAATTGTATCCCAATCAAGCTGTTAAATGTTCCTTTAAGGGCTGAAGAGATGGCTCAGAGGTTAAGAGCTCTGGCTGCTCTTCCAGAGATCCTGAGTTCAATTCCCAGCAACTACATGGTGGCTCATAACCATCTATAATGTGATCTGATGCCCTGTTTAGGCCTGCAGGCAGAAAACTGTATGCATAGTAAATAAATAAATCTTTTTTAAAATGTTCTTTTACGTATGTGTGTGTGTGTGTGTGTGTGTATGTGTGTGTGTTGTATGTGTGCATGCACAATTGTGCAGGTATGCTTGCCTGTGCAGTTTTGTATGGAGGTCAAAGGTTGAGTATCCTTTATTCAAGATGTTTGGGATGAGGACTGCTTTTGTTTTGGAATTTGCTCAAATTTTTAAACATTTGTATGTACATAATGAAATACTGTGAGGGTGGCAATGCAAAAATAAACAGAATACTCCGTTATGTTCATATGTGAGTTACAGATGTCACCTGAAAGCCATATTGACTAGTGTTTCCAGAGTGACTGCAATCTGGCTCTGACTCATCAGATGAGGTCAAGTGTGCAGGATTCCCCCACGTGTTAGATATCACATGGTAGTGAAAAACTTTCCAATCCTACAACATTGCCAAGCTCGGACTTTCACAGACAATCTTTTCCATCTTGTTTCAGTACAACATGGAAAAAATGGGCAACTCCATGGGCTTATCAATATGTCTAGTTAATTCCAATAAATACAAGTATTAAGTACCTGAGAACCTTAAAGATAAGTTTGACATCAGCCTGATCCCTGAGTATCACACAGGCTGCTGTAAGCTCCTGGCGTAGATGTGGCACGCCTGACTGTGCACACACAAGCTCATCAGCCAAGCTTCTGCTTGACTCTCCTTCCTTGGGAAACACCTCATTGCCTTCCTGGGTTTCCTCTACTTAATACGGAGCACTTTAGCCTCAGAGGTCTCCTAACTCGTGCACGGCCACCCAGAGACAGCAGAAGACAGAAGGGAAGGCAGAAGGGGCCGGACAGAGGTTGACTGAACAAAGCAGCAAGTTGCCTTCAAGGGCAGAGACATGGAGGCCCAGGAGACCTAAGGAAGGAAGAATGACTTGAGCAGTAGCAAACGGCCAGCGAGAGGTGGGTGCCTCATTTTGTTTTCCCAATCTAGAGACCAGAAGACGGAGGTTTTTAATCAAATGTGGGCTGCTACATTTTCATAAGCTACATGTTCATGTGGATTTTTACTCACTGACTCTCAAGGAGTTTGTGGACCAAGTTTTTATATGGAGATGAAGAAAGGCCTCTATTTCCATGTTCAAGAGGACATCTTATGTGCATGCATTCAGTTACTATTACTATCTGTTCTAGTTTCATCTGGTACAGACAGACAGTGAGTTTCTTCATTCACATACCTGCTACCAACTACAATGGGTGTGTGTGTGTATGCCTGGTAAATATGTGTATGTATATGTGTATGACTGTGTGAGTGTAAATGTGTGGATGTGGATGTATGGATGTACATACATACTCACGTATATACTTGTATGTAGCAGCTCAGTGTATGTATGTATGTATGTTTATGTTATATGTACATCTGTGTGAATGGGCTTATGTATATATGCATTATGTGTGTTTGTGTATATATGCATGTAAGTGTGTATGTCTATGTGAATGTGTGTATATCTGTATGTGTGTACGTGTGTGTGTGTGTGTGTGTGTGTGTGTGTGTGTGAATTGCTTCAAAATCTCTGTGACACTACAGATGTTCCTATGCTGCCTACAACAGTAGAGACTTGAGGATTCACCAGCTGGAATGGTTCATGCCTATAATTTCCAGAACTCAATTTACTAAGACAGGAAGACTTCCATGAGCTCAAGGCCCATGTAGGGTACATAGTAAGTTCGAGGTTGAGTTATAAAATGAGACTCTCAATAGATAGATAGATGATAGATAGATAGATAGATAGATAGATAGATAGATAGATATACAGATACATAGATAGATAGATAGATAGATGATGGATGGATGGATAGATAGATAGATAGATACATACATACATACATACATACATAGATGATGGATGGATAGATAGATAGATTTAAAGATTTTAGAATTCTTTTAGTTAAAAGTCTGAAATAGTTATACTATCTTTCCAAATACAAAGTCAAAGATGAGGATATGTTAAGGGTGCTAAAAACTGCTCTGAAGGAGGAAGCAAAGCATCTTCACATACCGTCGGTATTCTGCAAGATCGTGGAGTCCTTCAGAAATGTAACATCTCCTGCCTTCTCAGCCAGACACCTAAAATATTTCCCAAAATAAATACACCACAAGGAAGAAACCATTAGAATTCTCATAAATATTTGTGACATGCATTCCAAAAACTAAACCATAAAAGTAAACATACAAACGTTGAAACTGTTTCCAGGACTTTAAGATTTAACATGACAGATTGCAACATCTGGGTATCTTCTCTTTCTCTAAAACCCCAGTGAAATGACACCATGAGATTTCTTTTTTAACCCATAAACTTATAAAAGAGAAAGAGAAGGTAATAAAGACACCCTTCAGAATCTGGAAAGACAATGGCTGAACAGTGCTGGCCTAACTAAAGGAGGAAAGCTATAACACAAGGTGGGGGTGGTAGCAGCTCAGACGGAAGTTGGTGTGCAACCATAGGACGCCAGAAAGACTCAGCAACTGGAAATACAAGGGATCACTGAAAGTGCTGAAAAAAAAAAGCTTAATACAGGTGCCCTCACATGCCATGAGCGACTCCCTCACCCCAACCATTTGGGAGGTTGAACATTGACATGGTACAGTATAGGGAAACAAACCCAGTGGAGGCAGAGACACAACCCAGAAGCCAGAAGGTGAGCTGGGTACAACGGCTCATGCCAATCATCCCAGGACTCTTAAAGCTGAGACTGGTGGATTGCTGTGAGCATGAAGTAAGCCTAGGCTACAGAGTTAGACCTACCTCAACATTCCTCTCTCCCGCCCCATCCATAAAGGAGTAAACTGAAAAGTCTGTGTTCTGGAAGATAAAGTCAATCCCAACACACCAGCCAGGCTGGATATCAGGACCACCCTTCCCAAGAAGCGGGCAGTAAGACTCTTCATCAAGAAAATCTGATGAGTTTAAAAAAATATCCATAGACTTTGATATTAGGATGCTCATGACAAATGGCACAAACCAAAAGCCCTACAGCGGAGCCCAGCACCTCAGACTGGAAAACTGAGGGAGAGCTAAGAGTAAGCTGCGGTGCTCACCCACCTCAGTGTCAAACAGGCAAAGGCTACCAGCTGCTGGAAGGGAAAGCATGAAAAGTGATACCAAAAAAAATTGTACTCCCAAGATTCAGAGACAATATAAGGGAGAGGATTTTTTCTTTTTACAAACTACACTTAATATCATAAAGATATGAAAGAAATGAGAAGCAAGTAAAAGAAGCTCCAAAAAAAAGCTTAATCAAAATACAAAGAAATGTTAGGAAGTTTCAAAAGAAAAAAAGATAAGGGCTGGAGAGGGGCCTCAATGGTTAGAACACTGGCTGCTCGTCCAGAGGACCAACCACTCACTCCAGTTCAAGGGTATCTGACTCCCTCTTCTTGACTCTGAAGACACCAGGCATGTAGGTAGTATGCAGACAGACATACATGCAAGCAAATCACATATAAAATAAATAAATACATTTTAGAAAGAAAATTAAAATAGTCTTCACCATAAAAATGTTTTAAAACGACACAGGATTAAAAGATTCAACCAAGCAAATTTTGCAGAAACTAGAAGTGAAAATATGACTGATAGATGTTAGGAACTCAGATCGCCATCCCACCCCCCACCCCCACCCCCTCACACACACACCCCTCCGCCAGAGAGACTGGGGTTTAAAACACAAGAGCATAGAAAGTGTCAACAAAATAACAATTTCTCCAAACTGAATAATTTGTAGCCATGCCCACCAACTGCCTACTCTAATAAAGCAGAGAAGGACTCACATGGAAAAATGCAGTTTGAGAACACTAGGGATAAAAACAGGGCTGAGGAGATGACTCAGTGCGTAGAAGCTCTTGCCTCAAAGCCTGAGGACGTGAGTTCCACTTCTAGGCACCTCCATGCCTGGCTAGGGACACACACTCTTGTGCCGTATCCTTAATATGAAAATGATGCTGGAGCAGTCATAAGAGTGCAAGCATCGATAAGATGAATCCAGGTGTCAGAGCAGAAGTTTGTGGTTGAGGGATCGAAGGATGGGGCAGTGTGAGACACTAGGTTTTTTACCATAACAGGAAGTCAGAAAAATACGTGAAAGCTAAAAGTTAAGGACCAATAGTGTTTGAATGCTAGTTATGAACACCAGAATGAAGCTTTTGTCACCTCTGTGGATGTTTCTTAAGAACCTGAGACCAAAACTATCATCTGGCCCAGCTATACCACACCTGGGTATAGACTCAAAGGACTCTGTGCTACCACAGAGAGATTTGCATATCCGTGTTTATAGCAGCTCTATTCACCATAGCTAAGAAATGGGAGCAGCCAAGATGTCCATCAACGGACACCATGATGTTTGTGTATGTGTGTATATGTATGTATGTGTATATGTGTGTGTGCATGTGTGTATGTATGTGCATGTGTGTGTATGTGTGTATGTGTGTGCATGTGTATTTGTGTATGTGTGTGTATATGTGTGTATGTGGTATGTGTGTGTATGCATGTGTGTGAGGAAACCAGAATGAGGACTATGGGAGGGAAGGAAGAGAACATTTTTTAAAGTATTTATTTATTTTTATTTTATGTGTATGAGTGTTTCCTTAATGTCTGTGTGCCATATGAATGCCTGGTGCCTGCTGAGGCCAGGGGAATGTTTTTGAGCCACCACGCAGATGCTGAGAACTAAGCCTGGGTCCTCTGCAAGAGCAGCCAGGGCTCTTAACTGCTGAGCCATCTCTCCAGCCCTGGAAGGGAGAGGTCTTAAGGAATCTGGGAACTAGAGAAAGTAGAGGAGCACATGTAATATGGATGAGCTGGGAAAGAGAGGAGCACGTGATGGAGTGCAGGGGAGAAATGGAACCAAGCATGATGTTATGTGCATTTGGAGACACCACGATGAACAACCCAGCATGCCATGAGCTAACCTAAATGAGTTTTAGATAAAGATGGAAGAGAAAAGCAAGACTTCTGGCTCCAGCTTTGGATTATTTTGTTATTTAGCCCTCAGTCTAGACTCTAGATATAACTGACCAGAAGACAAAACTTTTTAGTTTAAACAGGAAGGAGAGTGTGCAGATATTTCCAGAGAGAGAATACTGTGTTGCAAGTCTGGAGGAAACAGATCCCAGGATTCACTTGGGTTCATTACTAAACTTATCTATTTAATGAGTGAATCGTGCTGTAAGTTTTCTATTTGTGAATCCTTAAGGATATGTTTTGTACACTTAAAAAAAATCAATGTTTACAAATCATTCAGATATAGCAAAAAAAAAAAAAGTCATTGTTTCACGGGAGCAAAGTTACTGAATTTATATTTAAAAGCCCAAAGTCCCGTTTGACTATTGTCATCTGAGGATCTGTGAGAACGTCTGGTGTTTAAGGAAGGATGAAGAGCCTCCATATGGGCCTCACACCCTACACAGTGGCATGGGAAGCAATACTCAAATAAGTGTGAGCTGGACAGTCGTTGTGACCCATGTAGCACTGAGAAGGTATGGAATCTGAAAGCTAATATTTGGTGATTTTGTTCATATTATTGTTGGAAAATAACTCTGTAATCTTTGTTACTTCTTTTTCAAAAAGATCTATTTTTATTTATGTGTATCTGTGTGCATGTATATGTACATATGTGCACATGTGGTACTCTGGATGTAAGAGGGGGACCTGGATCCCCTGGACCTGATAGGGATCCTGGAAACTAAACCCAGTTCTGTATAAAACCTCAAGCATTGAGCTTCTGAACCATCTCTCCAGCCCCTTTAAGGCCAAAATCAAGGAGAAAACTAAAACTGTAAGATATAATTGTGATCTGAGTGAGGAAGAAGGAAGGTTGGTGGTCACTAGAATTCTCTGAAATTCACTGAGACATTCTCGACCTGCTGACTTTGAGGGTGATTAATCTGAGCTCCACAGCCCCGCAGCCTCGCAGCCCTGCAGCCCCGCAACCCTGCCGCCCAAGCTCCACTCTCTGGGGTGTTGGGTGTGATAGAAGGCTCTTGTTTTGTTGCCTCTCTGATCCTTGATTCTTCTATGACAGCATCTCACCCCAACCACAGTGCTGCTTGTTGAGGATGAGGGTTGAGGCCCTGTGCTGGTGGCGCTCTGCTCCAGACTCACCGAAAAGCCCCAGTGTAGCCTTGGTACCTCTCTTTGCTGTTGGGGGCACACTTATTCTCACCCTTCTCGTCACCAATACACAGGGCACACAGATTGGATTTGGGGTCAGCCCCAGGGGCGCAGCTTTGGCTAAAGAATTCATCTAGACAGAGGGAAGAAGGTAAGTTAGTGCTTCAGACCACAGTCGACACAAAGTCTTTACCCAGCAGATGGCATAGTGTGATGTCAGCTCAGTATGTACACAGCACAGAGAGGACACTTATCACCCCAGAATGACATCCCACCACCAACCAAAGACCCACTGGAAATCAAAAAGGCCTCAGACTGTAGGGATGGACAGGATATCCAGCTGGTGCCTGAGAGGGCCACACCTGCAAGATGGGCCTCTTGTTCCAGTCTTGACTTCTTTTTATTTTTTAAAATCAGAAATAGAAACCCAGGCTTCTCAATAGAAAGAAGGTGTCCGATGGCCGTTATGCCCCTGTGGCTGGTACACACATGGTACAGGGTAGGTATGATGATGGATGTTCAGGAGTGCTGGGTGCCAACTCTCTGGAAACACTCTTAAAAGGGATCAGGGCTTTTTTAAAGATTTATTTTATGTATGTGATACACCAAAGAGGGTATCAGATCCCATTACAGATGGTTGTGAGCCACCATGTGGTTGCTGGGAACTGAACTCAGGACCTTTGGAAGAGCAGTCAGTGCTCTTAACCGCTGAGCTATCTCTCCAGCCCAGGTATCAGTTTTTAATACAGATGAAAACATTTGAAAATGCCTGTTATATTGCATTCTTGCTTATATTAGAAACTCAAGCTATCTTATCAGATTTACGATTACAAAAAAAATACATCTGATTGTTAACAATTCAGCTAGCTGCTAACTCATAAGGTTGAGCATATCTTAATGTTTTAATTAAATGATGTGATCTGGATCTCAATGGGGGCGGGTAGAATAGGGGAAGCTTAGGAAGTGTTCTGTACGAAACACCCAGGAGTTGAGCACAAGGATAACCTAATTATTCTAAATTAGACCTACAAGCTATAGCCAGTTAGCAAACCTCTTACCCTCTCCCTTCCCTAAGGCTCCATAGCCTCAAGTGCTCACTCCCAGACCCAGGATGGCCATCCCATGAGACCCTCCCACATGCTTACTAAATTTGCAAGATCCAGTCTGGTTGACTAGCAGGCCAATGGGGATGTTCCAGCCCGCAGTCCTGTCCACGGCAGTGTGGCAGGACTTCTTGCCTCTCAGAGAGCTCCAGGTGAAACCAGTGTCTTCTTTTCTAACTGCTGCTACAGCAAGGTACCCTTTGCAATAGATGACAGAGAAACAATCTTAGCTTCCAGGGTGCATATGAGTTCTAGTACAGTGTCTCCAACCAAGGCCGGAAAAAACATCAGGGTTACATTGTCATGGATCATTGGCCATTGTTAGGAAAATGAGAGAGAGAGAGAGAGAGAGAGAGAGAGAGAGAGAAGGAAGAAGAAGAAGAAGAGAAGGAGGAGGAGGAGGAGGAGGAGGAGGAGGAGGGGAGGAGGAGGAAGAGGGGAGGGAGGGAGGGAGGGAGGAAGGAAGGAAGGAAGGAAGGAAGAAGGAAAGGGGAGAAAGGGAAGAAGGAAAAGAGAAATAACAAAGTTGTTCTGTGTCAAGGGAAGACCAATCTGAATTGTTAAATAAAACGATATGAAAAATTAATCCTCTAAGCAGTTACAGGCGACTGTCCTCAAGAGTTATGAACTTTTACCCAGGGGCAACAGACCCTGAACAATGAGCAATGAACTCAGCAATGCACAATTAACACACACTGGCAAGTGCTGTGGTGGCCAGTAGATCAGCGGCTCGAATGCTGGGGCGTGCACCCAAGGACCACCCAGAGCTGAGTGTAACCAGCCCAGCATGGTGAGGGAGAGAATACAACTGCTGTCCTCCTCTCAAGGTGTCTGACACTCCGACTGAGGACAAGTACCAAGGCTTTCAAAGCTCAGCCAGCTCACGCTCTGGAGAGCAGCTGAGGCTAGTGCAGAGCCCTGGGCTTGAAGAGGCATGAAGCCCTAGTCCAAAGCCAGTATCTGCACTAGCATAGTACCAGTATGAGTGAGATCTGAGGCACTGGGGGACTCTCTGGACCACTGTTTCCTCAAATGTACAGAGTGAGGAAGCAACATTTCTCTTTCCACATAAGCCTGCACCAAGAGTGACCATTTGAAAGTTCCCCACCAAGAGTGAGGGTGTATTCAAACGTTAATTGTAATTATTCTCCATCAACTATTTGTATCTGTAACTAACAGTTTCCAGGCTTGGCCTCTGTGTGGTTAGTGAGGTTTTCACTGCCTCTTCTTGAGTGGTGACTTATTTTTGCTTCCAACTTACCTTCCACTGGTCTGTCCACACAATCAAGGCCATTGTTTTTAGAGGATTCTGAAGAGACGAAGACAAGCAAAACATCACTGACAACTCAGATTTCCTGAGAGGCCCCAAACTTTCAAATGCCCACAAGACAAGATCAAACTCAAAGGGAACACCTTGGTATATCAACGCAGCAGAAAAAAATACACATTTTCACCATAGACGTGGACGTGGATGGCCATATCAGTATTATTCACAATAACCACCAGATGGAAATTGGTGAAACACCCATCCAGGAGGACAATAGTGAAGCATTGTGCTCAAGGCACACAATAGAATATGATGGCAGCCATAAGACCGGATAATCAACAGCCACACATGTGTGTGGGTGACTGTCACAAAAAACAATGCTGAGCAAGACACACCAGACATCAGACGCTCAGTTCTTTTTCTATTAACTTAAAGGAGAGGTGAGGGGATCTGTGTCTTTGGAAGTCAGGAGAGTCACTGCCATTTGGGAGTATGATGACAAGCAGGGCACAGGATGACTTCTGGGGCTTGCTGAGCCTTCATCTGGGTGTCAGTATATGCATGCTATCAGTGTATTCATGCTAGTAACACATACCTGCCGTCAGCACATGCATGCTGTGAGATATATATATATATATATATATATATATATATATATATATGCACATGACCTGTGTGTGCATGCATGGAGGGCGTAACACAATTTGTGGGCGTTGTTTCCTTTTATCATGTGGAAACTGGGCATCAAACTTAGGCTATCAGGCTTGGCAGCCGATGTTTACCTGTACCAGCTGAGTCATCTCACCATCCCAAAAATGATTTTGTTTTTGTTTTAATCAAGAAGTAAGCCACCGTGATTTGTCCATCTGGGGGGATGGGGTGAAGTGGGTATCATGGCCCCTTTCATTTATTCCTTCATATGATTCTCTCTCCATCCTCTCCAGGATCTAGCAAGTGGGGTAATACATCCCTACTCCCAAGTCAACCTCAAATGGCATAACCTAGACAGGACATCAGCTCCACTTACTCTGGTTCTCCTTCAAGACTGGAACTAAACCGCACTTGCCCGCAGTGTAGATATAACCTCCATCCAAGCTCATGGCATCAGCGTCTCCCTTCTGCAGAGACAGAGTCGGTCACCCACACCACAGAAAGCTGCTGTCTTCAGAGCTCTCGGGATGGCCTCAAGACATGTGTTGTTTGAATGTAACATCCCAAGGAAATACCACATGGACTCAGTCCTTCACCAGTCTCATTGTCTTTGGGCTGTCACCCACACACCTGAGACACTAACTCTGTCTTCTGAATAGAACTCTTCCTGTACCCAACCACTCCTGACTCCTTTCTGAACCAGCCTCACTCACAGAAGACATGACGAGAAAAGCTGCTCTCGGCTAACACAACACTCTTAGCACAACACTCGAAGTGGTATCCAGAGGCTGGCTATCAAATTGACTCATGAGAGTGAACCAGCCACACCCCATAGAGAAACATGAATTTATCAGGACCATACCCTCCTTTGTTCAGTCAGCACAACAATGGCATTTTGCTGTTTTACAACGGTATTAAAAATGACAAGAGGGGACTAGAGATTTGGTTCAGCAGCTAAGAGCTCCCATTGCTCTTCTAGCGAACCTGAGTTCAGTTCCAGCACCAACATGGCAGCTCCAACTGTCTCTAACTCTACTTCCAGGGGATTCGACATCCTCTTCTGGCACCTGCATGCATGTGGCTCCTGTACACACTCAGACATCCACACATACACATAAAATAAAATAGGCATTTACAACTGTTTCCCAAGACTAAGCATCGATGTGGGGAAGTATCCACGATATACTGCTTATTTGAACAAGGGATCAAAAGAATATAACCTGCACAATCCAGAATTGCTCTGGGCTCATGGACAGAGAAACCTGGGATGAGGAATTTCAAATCTCTCATTGTAAATATTTCTATATGAAGTTGCACACAGGGGTGTGTGTGTGTGTGTGTGTGTGTGTGTGTGTGTGTGTGTGTGTGTGTGAGAGAGAGAGAGAGAGAGAGAGAGGGAGAGAGAGAGATGCTAAAACTGTTCTACATTTTCCAAATTAACCTAATAACCCTAAATTTTTCTTTTACTGAAAAGGGCAGAATTTCCACAATAAGTTGTTTTTCAAACCTAGAAGGCTGCTCCTTCATGCAATACATATGGCTGAATTGTCCCAAGCCCACCCTCTTTTGGGTGTTCCTTCTTCACAGTGGCCTCTCAGGTGACCAACCTCACTGGAAGCAGATGACCTTGGCCCCTGACAGCACGTGTGACACCAGCTCCCTACCATGATTGCGATGATGCAGTCCTCCGTTGTGGGGAATGAGGCGCAGGTAACCCTGCCGCGGCTCGCTCTGTTCCACCGATCACATTTGCGCTTCTCCTCACTGCCCACTGCACACCACGTGACCCGGGCCTTTGCGGCTATCACATCCTGCTGCGCTGTGGGGAAGGACAATGGTGAGGAACACTGAGGTGCTGCCTCATTCCCACCTCTGCCCTCCTCGGGGATCGAGTTCCTGCCCAGATCTTCTGAGACAGAAGAACCTGTGTGAGACCTTCCCTTCCCCACATCACAGCCCTCAAAATGATTTTGGTCCGGAATGAAAGCTTTCTGTCTCTTCTGTTCTTTCAGAGGGCTTCCCTGGCTTCTAATCCATACATCAGTCTTTGGTGTAACGGTGTGCCTAATGTTCTATCCCTCTGAATAAATGGTCCATGACTTGGAAGCTAATGTGTACCCCAAAGGCTGGCTTAGAGGACCTTGACTCAGCCCTGACCACCCCCCCCTTAAGGCCCACAATCACCAGCAGGTATCACAGTACAGCCTCCTGGTGCACTCAGACTCCCTCTCAAGTCTTCACTAGTAGAATAAACACAGCCAAGTTTGTAATCTCTCCAGCCAAGGTTAAATTCCAGCACAGAAGCGGTGCTTCACCTAGCCTCTGTTCCACTGATCCCCCTCTGTAATGCCCCCAAACCCTAGCCTCTGGAGTAATCCCCCACCCGATTCTTCTTTTCTTAGTTCATTCCTCTCTTTCTTACCTAATAAGAGGCCTTGGGATCCTGACACTCACAGAAGAATATGGAAACATTCATCCAGTGTCTGAGACAATTTTTTGGAGACATTTTTCACAATGCCCTTGACTTGAATGACAGAGATGCTTGTATGTGTGTCAGCCCCACCAGTGGTGGAGAGACCATCCCAGAGCAGAGGTCACTCACAGTTCACTGCCTGCTCAGTATCCTTGGGTTCCTGCCTGGGATTCACTTACTTTTCTCTAGGTTCTGTATGGATGTGACATAGTTGAAGGTCAGGTAGAGGCCAACATCCACCTTGAGGGGAACCCTCACAAAGCCAATGGCAGAGTCCTTGAACAGCAGATCCTTCTGTCCAGGAGGGGAAGCAAAGAGCTGGAATTCTGATGCTTTGTTTTTTCCAAACTTTTCCTGTTTAAGGAAAAAAATAGAATCATGGTTACCAGCAATAGGAAGAAAGGAACCAAAACCCAACATGGGAAGCAATTCAAATGGAAGAGTAGCCTCAGTTGACATCTGAGCTCCCAGGGACTCTGCTTATTGCAGAGACACAAGTTCAACTATAACTTACCTCATCAGAAAACTGTTTTGCCCCAAGGTCCTTGGGGACCTAGTAGCAGCATCTTATACCCACCCCTGCTTCTGCTGGAGCCCAGGAGAGCCTGCTAGGCACTGACACTGAAGAAGATTCCTGTGTCTCTGCTGTTCAAAGGAAAGTCAGGGCCCACAGTCCTTAAACTATTGAACTCTCTCTACTGCTGAAGTTAGGGAAAGAGAGGCCCTCCCACCCCTAACTCTAAGCAGGCGAGGGTGACTGTGCGTGTGTGGGTGTACCTGTGACTCCTGGAGAAGCTCCCAGATGGCATCTTCTTTGTTACTTGAACTTCGGGCTACCACAGCATGTGAAGAGACTTGGGCCAGGTGACACTCCTTGTACTCTGCCACTGGCTTCCAGGTGTTATCTGGGCAGAGCAGCTTGTACTGGTCCCTTTCGGCTTTGTCTGGTAGCTCCTCTGGAAAGAAGAGAAATATGTCAAGAGGAGTTGACACTTGGCCACGACCTTGAGCTGGGGTTCCCCTTATCCACCAAGAGAATTCTGATCACAGAGTTGATAAAATTGAATCAAAAAGACTGAATTGCTCCTGAGGTAAGAGGTAAACCACACATGTGTGGCAGAGAAGAGAACAACCATCCCTGGCTGTCCATCAGTAGACTGACAGGGACATTAAATACGGTAGACATGCTCCACAGATGGTTCTTCTACTCTCAGAACCACGGAGTTACCCATGTATTAAAAACCACAGATTAATCTCAGACCCTCAACGCTGAGTGGAAAACCTTGGGCTAGTATTGCTTCTAGTGCTCAGTAAAACCTGTGTGAACTCAGAATCCAGAGACACAAGCCAGGAAAGTTTATGTTGCAGAGGCGTGAACACCCTGGCGAGCACATGACGAGCTTCCTGGTGAGTGTCTATGAGGGGAAAGAAGGGAGTAGGAGTGGAAGATTTCAGAGCATGAGGTAGAGGCTGGAGAGGTGGCTCAGCAGTTAAGAGCACTGGGTGCTCTCCCAGAAAATCTGGGTTCCATTCCCAACACCCACATAGCAGCTCACAACCATCTGTAACTCCAGTCCCGAGGGATCTGATACCCTCTTCTGGTCTCCTTGGGTACCAGGCATGCATGTGGTGCACAGACATACATGCAGGCAAAACACCCATGCATACAAAGTCAAAATTAATCTTAAAATGTTTCTGGTTTTGGTTTTTTGAGTTTTTTGTTTTGTTTAGAAAAACCTAAAAGAAGAATTGGACCCAGCAGGGAACTTGATAACAGTGTAGCTGGAAACTGAGGAATCTGGTGACCTGCTCACCACAGTTATGACGAAAGCATGTGAGAGGCAGCCACACCCACAGCTTCTCCCTTCCCCTTACCAAATATCGTGCTTGCTCTGGTAAAAGCCACATCTCCAGCGTTGTCTCTCAGACACCTGTGAAATGAGGAGAACGCAGTTAAAGGTGAGGTGTCTCCAGCTGTGTGGCTCTTTCTCTCCAGACCGAGTAGGCAAATGTACCAGTGCCAGCAAGGACATAGGGAAGTCACTCCACAAAGTTGCCTGAGCTCCAGGAAAGGACTGAGAGGAGGTGCCGAACCTCAGCAACGGCGTAGAGGCCGGAGAAGGAAGTCAGACAGAGGTCACCCTCTCCTACTCTAGAGAGGCCTGAGTTGGACTAAATATCAAGGCCACAAGGGCTGCCCCACCCAGATGGGATGGAGGTGGGGAGGAAATTAGCAGGATAACCCAAGAGAATAGGAGAGCAAAGTCAGGTGTGAGATGATCAGAAAGGCTAACCAAGTTAGCTTCCATCAAAGTGATACGGAGTCTGGGGCCGTGTTGGGCCTCTAGAGGCTAGAGAAGAGCATGCAGTAGAGAGGCCAACTGCTTCTTAGGACTTGGGTTCTCGATCTGCACATCAATAGAACCTTACCTCCACCCTGTACCCTGGCCTGAAGCTGTGCCCCCACTGGGGAGAAGAGAGTGGTATCACTCACCTCAAGGCTCCTGCGTAACCAGAGTATGGTTCCTTGGGGGAAGAGGCACATTTGTTTGCTCCCGTCCCTGCACATGAGCTGCACAGGTTGGGGAATCTATCCTTTTGGGCACCAGGAACACAGCTCTTTGAGAAGAACTTGGATACCGCTGTCAAACACAGAGAAGAAGGTCACAGAGTATAAGCCAGTCCCAGTCACTGCAGTCCTGTCTCCCAGCAGCAGCCCCTCCACCACCCCAACCCCCAAGACTGAGAGTCCCTTCCTCCACCAGACAGAGCAGGACAGAACTGAGCAGGCTTTGAAACTCAGATATGCATCTTTGCCCAGAGAACAACTACTGGCGGCACCCAGAGCTGTTGGTGTGATGGCCCCTGCCTCTACTTGATTAGCCTCCCTCTGCCCAACCTTGGACTCATCCCATATGGACACCCATCCCAAAGTGGCTTATGCCTACAGTGAGACTAGAAATTCCTAGCTTGGACCACTCAGGATCTTCTCCCACTGCCACCCCTCCACCCCCACCCTCACCCTCACCCCCCACCCCCGTCTCAAGCCATTTTACCTTCCTCAAGGGATGCAGGTGGCCCATTCCAATTCAGGTATGGACGAAGTGTCCCTATAGGGATTTTCCACCCTGCACTCCTGCCAATGCCTGTGTGGCAGGACCTCAGTCCTTGGAGTTGGTTCAGACGAAAGTTACTGCTGTTCTTCACGACTGCTACCGCATAATAGTGAGTCCGGGGCTCTGCAAAGGAACAGGGGGACTAGACAGGGCTTAACCCAAATGAGAGGGAGAGGAAGAATCCACTCCACCCAAGCTGCTGTGGGAAGGAGACCCAAGCATCAGGAGGATCTGTCTTCATCCAGAGTCCAGAGACTCTGTCCCCCAGTGTATGACACTGACTAGGTTCGCCTCTTTTTGCTCATCCATTCCCACTTCTCGGAAACCACTTAGTAGTCACAACGCAGTCTCGAGGTTTCAGAGACCCCAGGGAGAACTCACGCTCTTTGGTCCCGTAGACTTCAGCTGCTACAGGTCGCAGTTTGTAGGGGGGCTTTCCCGCATCGAACATAGTGCCACCATCAAGAGTCATGGCATCAGCTCTATTTGCCTGAAAGAAAACGGGCCAGACATGCTTCAGGAGAAAAGATTTCTGGGCTTCAGAGTGAGTTAGCCTTTCTTACGTCTGTATGTCCTACCTAGAAGATAGCGGCACAGGTCAGGGGTCATTTGCTGTGAGCAGTAGGCACCTCCAGGGCTTTAACTCCTGAAGTAGTGTGTGCCCCCTACATACACCTGTCTACTTCAGTTACTCTTGGTCACACTGTCACAATCTACTGTATTTAAAGCTGTTTGTTCCACATACTTTATCCCCTATTTTGCCTTCATGTGTCTTTTTAGTCTTGGGGACGGGCGCAGTGTGTGTGCTCACACACTGGAGGACATGAACGTGTAGAAGCCAGAGCTTGACTTCCGGTGTCTTCCTCCATCTCTCTCTACCTTACATCTTGAAACAAAAACTTTTGCCAAACCTGGAGCTCACTGATTTGTTTAGACCTTCGGTCTCTACTTCCTAAACCCTGGGGCCATGTGGGAAAGCTACAATCTCTAGCTTTTTCATAGGTGCTGGAGGGCAAACAAGTGTCTTTTTAATGTCTGGAGTCCTGGCCATCCCTATCCAGCAGGTGAGATATGGCATCTATGCCAGGCTTACTTCTCAAGGGTTTAGAGACATTACACCTTCATCAAATATGGCTGCTCCAGCTTAAAAAAAATAGCTCCTATGAACAATTTGAAACAAGACCCCAGTTACCCTGTAAGAGGCCTCTCATTTGTCTTTCTTCGATATCAAGAAACACCGATTCCCGTGAGCGAGGACTGCTCTCAACTGATGGGTGCCCAGGAAGTAAAGCAGAGGGAACAGAGTTGCGAGCTTGCAGCTGGTTGGACTGCAAGCCTCTCCTTGCTTTCCTTCATTCAGGTTGGAGCATTAGCTTACCACAATGGCCTGGATGCACTGACGGGTGGAGGATTTCGTGATACAAGTGAGCGGCTGGCCACCCACTTTTCTCATCATGTACTGCCACCTAAAACATTTTTGTTCCTCAAATTTTGACACAGCACACCATCGAACAGTTGTTTTTCTAGCTAGACAGAGTCCTGGGAGAAAGAGAGAATGTAGTTAGTCCAGCAGTGTCCGTGGAGAAGACCTCCTCAGTGTCCGATGGCATTCTGTAGCTTGCCCACGGTCGCTGCTCTCCTTCCCTCCACATTACATGGTCATGTTCAGCCACTGTACTCTAGGTAAGCTAAGCTGCTGGACCACAGGGAACTCTCCTGGCCAGAGGAATGCAATTCAGACACGTTAGAGGAGAGGGAGTCTCTAGGTTATTTTCCTTCTCATGACTAACGCATTTCCTACCCACCCTCAAAGACCATCCACACCAAAGGTCATTTTATTGACCTCCATCAGCCTTGTACTATTGTCCTGCATGAACCTGGGAGGGAAGCAGAGAAGGAGCCCGCCTCTTTTACTTATGTGCATACTGGATTTTAATGTTGCAAACATGGAAAACTTCCTACACTGCTGAGACTGTAAAATCAATGTAGCCACTTTGGGAAACAGGTTGGCAATTGCGCATAGAAATAAAAACATAGATCTGCATAAAGATTTATCATTAATATTCATAGTAGCATTATTTAGATAGGAAAAAACCTCAAATAACAACAACAACCAAAACCAAGTAACTACCTAAATCCCAACACCGGTGAATGGGAATGGCTGAAGAAAATGCAGTACATCCACTCAGTGGAATAATCTTCAACTAGAAAAAGTAGTACGCGTACATATTACGTGACTAGGCAAAGGGATAAAGCCCAAGATAAAACATTGGATAACTCCATTTTTTTATTTTTATTTTATTTTATTTTATTTGAGTTTCTATGTAGCCTTGGCTGTCCTGGAACTCACTATGTAGACCAGGCTGACCTTGAACTCACAGAGATCCTCCTGCCTCTGCCTCTCTCTGCCTCTCTCTGCCTCTCTCTGCCTCTCTCTGCCTTTCTCTGCCTCTCTCTGCCTCCTGCCTCCTGCCTCCTGCCTCTCTGCCTCTCTCTGCCTCTCTCTGCCTCCTGCCTCCTGCCTCCTGCCTCTCTGCCTCTGCCTCTGCCTCTGCCTCTGCCTCTCTGCCTCTGCCTCCCAAGTGCTGAAATCAAAGGTTTGCACCACCACACACCATTGATCAGAAAAGATAAATTTATAGATAGAAAATTGGTGGTTCCATTGAGTGAGTTCTGGGACTAGAACTCACTGGTCTTCAGTCTTGGTGGCAAGCACCTTTACTCACTGGGTCACCTCATCTACCCTTCAGTGTGATTTTTGTCAGCGCCTCCATAGTTCCAGGCATGTGTAGCTTTATCAAGTTATATGACTTTCCAGCTAAGTAGTATTGGCTCTAGAACTTGAACCTAGGCAGTTGGGCACCAGGACTGCTGACCACTGAGCTAGCCTGCCTGTATAGGATGCCGGGTTAGATGTGGGGTACAGTGACAGGAGGACTAAGGAAGGGTGTAGAGTCAGATCACTGAGGGTCCCCAGCACTGGTACATAGAAGCCTTCTTTGGAGGCAATGAAGCTGGGATTCACAGGAGCCGGATGGAGATGGGAGTGCTGCCTGTGGAAGGACAGAGTGGACTGACAGCAGCTAGTGACTGAGCAAAGGAGATGGAGCCAGAGAATCGATGAGGGAAGCAGTGCTCTGTACGCATGAGAGGATGTGCATTGGGAACACAGAGGGGCAGGAAGAAGGGGTCGGTATAGCTGGACAAAGGCTGAGCTCTGGAGGTGAAAGGGGCCCATAAAAAGGGGAGCCACGGGCTGGAGAGATGGCTTAGCGGTTAAGAGCATGGACTGACTGCTCTTCCAAAGGTCCTGAGTTCAATTCCCGGCAACCACATGGTGGCTCGCAACCATCTGTAATGAGATCTGATGCCGTCTTCTGGTGTGTCTGAGGACAGCTATGGTGTACTCATATACGTAAAATAAATAAGTAATTCTTTAAAAGGGGGAGCCACATCTCAAGGCAAGGAATGCACAGCAAGGCGAGAAGCCAAGCTGGGGAGGTGTAACCAGGGCGACCAAAAAAACCAAGTGCTATGCCAAGCTCCTCAGTGTCCCTCCCTGCAAATACCAGTGCTGAATACAGAACACCTCCCTCCCCAGCCCCTGTAACAGCTCCTCCCCACCTCCCTTGCTAGAGCTCTCAGCAGCCAGCCTTCCCTGAAGGACAGGCATTCCCTCAGTAGCCAGGTATTTCCCTGGGACTGGGACTGGGACTGGGACTGGGACTGGGTACCACTGCAGCAGACAAGTACTCCCTGAAGCAGGTCTGATGTGTCTGCCTGTCTCATGCCATGTCATTTTCAAAACAAAGGATCAGAGGGGAATGCACAGTCATGCAGTCCTTACAAAAGCTAGTATCTAAACTCGGGTGTCCTGTGTGTCTTAAGCAAATATCTCACCCTCTCTGAGCCCAACAGTCTTCCCTAAATAACAGAAGAGTACATTTAGTGCCCAGCTTCCCAGCAGGTGACATCCCCAGGCACCTGCACTCACCAAGGGCCCCAAGAAACAGCAAGGCAGGGATCAGCAGCCTCATGTCTGTGGTCTTGGGAGACCTAGAGGATAAGCCTGGCTTCTGCACCCTCCCTGGGGCCCTTTATCCGTGCTGGGTGACCTCACAGGACTGGCCCCGCCCTGTTGCCCAATAGGCCTACCTTCCAACCCCATTCCCCTCAGCCAGGTGTGCTAGTTCTTAGAGGCCAGGCTCCTGGAGCCAGGAAGGAGGAAACAGGGACTCTAGTCCCTCCTATACAGGCACTGCTGGTACAGGAAACCTAGTGATTTCCTTCATCTCCACCTAGCTTCTGCAGGATCAATGACACAGAATCACAGTCCCCAAGTCTTATCTTTTCTCTGTTTCCAGTGCCATCCAGAGGTGGGATGTAGGGTAGGGGTCTTTCTTTGTGGATTACCTTGACCTGTGACACTAGACCCACATAGAGCAGACAAATCCCCTTCCTCCTTGGCTGGACAAAGAGTGATGGATTCTAAGAAGTACCAGTTGCTCAGCCCCGGTCAGCAGCAGCCTGGAGACCGTTGCAGGGAGAGCGGAGTCAGCCTAGACTTGCACAGGGGATTTCTGTGGGGTTCATGCTGCCTCAAAACCCACAATACAGTCCCCCCAAAATAACCTAGGACCTCAGAAAGGAATGCCACCCAGGGTTGGTCTGTGTCCCCTCATTTGCTAGTGACCCTTCAGTGCTGGGTGCTGAAGTGTAGTCCTCTCCTCTGCAGAAGCAGTGTGCATCCTTAACCACTGAGCCACCTCTCCAGCTCCCACAATGATGCCATGTTTTAATTCAAAAGCTAGATGACTGCTTCTGAGAACACAGCTCGTAAGTGTGTTCCCATGATGCACAGGGTTCAGGACCAAAGGGTCTGCAGGCCCAGCTGTATGCCATACACCCACTGGAAGCAATAAAGGTGTCGCCGGAGGGTATCACCTCAAGTGTGGTGCCCATAGACACAGTGGGTGAGTTTGGGCCTTCAGAGAGAATATGGTAAGCACACTGGTACAGATGTGAACTTAGCACAGGAGCTCACGCACGAGGTAGTTAGGTGTTAGCCTGAAGGAGCCTCAGGCCCTGGATCCTTCTCTTGTAATTGCAATCTGCTTTTTCTTCAGAGGCAGGCATGGACAACGCTTAAATCACTGGCAATAAGGAACATATTTCTGGAACAGAAGGTACCCTAATAAGCCGGCACTGCCAAGGGACACTCAGACCTAAGGAGCAGGCCCAGCCTGAGTCTGTGAGGTCTCATATGACTGGGGCTGACTCTTAATAAGATACAAACACGAGGGCAAATCAGGTTTCCTGCTTGCCAGCACAGAAGTGGAGTCTGTGTTTGGTGTTAGAATCCCAGCTGGGGTTTTGGTAACAGATCCAGGGTCTCTCATTTGGAAACAATATAATGCAACGTCAAAGTTGCTTTCATCTATAATTGCGACTAGCCATTTCAAAAAACTGTGAAGAAACACGCAGTTGACTAACTCTCGGGCGCAATGAAGCATCTCTGTATCTGAACTGGCCTTGCCTTTTCATGATTATAAAAGAATTGAGAAATATAACCCACATCTCTGAGCGCCAATTAGAAAAGGGTGCACCTTTGGAGGTGCGCTGGTTGGTTTATTCACTTGACACGACCTAGACATAGCTGAGTAGAGAGAATCTTAATGGAGAAAATGTCTTGGTAAGATTGGCCTGCAGGCAGGTCTATGAGGCATTTCCTTGGTTAATGATCAATGGGGATGGGTTCGTATTTAACACAACACTTCTCAGGAGACGTTACTTGGTGAACTTAAAGATTTCTCCTTTAACGTCAAATCTCTTCTCTACGTATACCGAGTACATTTTTATTAAGCTTCTGTTCCTCAGACATAAGTTTCAGTCTGGAGCTACTCAATATGTAAGTGTAATATTAACTGAGAAGATAAGATAGAAACCCAAGAAAAATATAGGGAGGAAGCCTCCAGGATTCCCAAGGCATGGTGGATAATCTGATGATCCATTTTTTTAATATTTATTTATTTATTATAAATGAATACACAGTAGCTGTCCTCAGACACACCAGAAGAGGGCATTGGATCCCATTACAGATGGTTGTGAGCCACCATGTGGTTGCTGGAAATTGAACTCACGACCACCAGAAGAGTAGTCAGTGCTCTTACCTACTGAGCCATCTCTCCAGTCCCTGATGGTCCTTTTGAGTCTGAGTACTCTTTCTTCTTGTTGGAATTCTAACGGTGTGAAAGGTTACTTGTGCAAATTTAAACCATCTTAATTTAACTCTTTTTCTTAAGCAGCAAATACAAATTATAGACTGCATTTTTTTAACGGCTACTTGTGGCAAGGAAAACATTTGTTCTCTCATTTAATAATGACCTCTTCACATAGTATAGGAGATGGCTAGAGTTGTAAATCCATCGTTGTAACTGTTGACTGGGACGGGAGAGCACAGGCCTCCCTTTAGCCTCAGTAGGACAGCGGTTGTCAGTGTGTCTGGGTAAGATCTGATTCAGATGGGACCCCAAAGTTCATTTTATACATACACCCCCAAGCAAGCTCAAACGTCTGGGATGCAGAGAAACATGAACTGTTGCATCTTCAGCTTCTACTGATTCAAAAGGCATCACAAAAACAATGACGTAAGAACCAAGGTTGAGTTGAAACTGAAGACATGATGCTGCATTTTTTTTAAGATTTCTTTACTTTTTTTTTTTTAAGATTTATTTATTTTATGTATGCAAGTACACTGTAGCTACAGACATACCAAACCAGAAGAGAGCATCAGATCCCATTATAGATGGTTGTGAGCCACCATGTGGTTGCTAGGAATTGAACTCAGGACCTCTGAAAGAGTAGTCGGTGCTTTTAACCACTGAGCCATCTCTCCAGCTCAATTTCTTGTTTTTACTTTGTACATCTGGGTGTTTGGTCCATCATGTTCATGCAGTTTGCACAGAAGCCAGAGAGGGCATCAGATCCCTTGGAACTGGAGTTATAGTTGTTTGTGAGCCACCATGTAGTTGCTGGGAACTGAACTTAAGTCCTCTGGAAAAGCAGCCAGTGCTCTTAACCAGTAAGCCATCTCTCTAGCTCCTAACGCCAGGATCTTGAGGCTGAGTTTTCTGAAGCAAAGGTCTCTATTAAAGTCTACCTGATCTGGAATCTTCCCTTTCTGGAGCTCCAGATACTGAGGCTAAGAGGTCACACGTGACACAGCCTACTGGAAAGCAGCTTCCACAGGAAAGAAGCTTGTACAGGAAGTATGATTTGTTCTCCCTCATCCTTTTCCCTGCTGCCTCCCTCTTCCTCTTGCATCTCCTGTCAGTGCCTTCCCTCCTCCCACCATCCCCTGTCAGTGCCTTCTCTCCCCCCTTATCCCCTGTCAGTGCCTTCCCTCCCCCCTCATCCCCTGTCAGTGCCT